AATCGGGAGGTCTATGGTTCGAGACCCCTCTATGGAGAGCACTTTCTTTTTACAAAAAAATGTGCTTTTGCAAATGGGATTAACAGATTAAAGAGTATATCCAATTAATTTATTTATCTTATTACAATAAAGGCATAAACAACGACAACCTGCGGGCTTCCACATCTCCTAAGAGGTGCCGCAGTCGATACGTTCCCATTATTTAACGTAGCGGGTCTCCAGTAGGCCTATACTACGATCGGCCTATACTATTTTTCAAGGTTCCTCTCTTTCAAATTTTCTCGGTTGCCCAAACTTTATTTTAAGCTTATATAAAATATTTTTACAAAAAGGTTGTCATCGGGATCGAAAATCATTGTCTATTAACTCACAATATTCTCTCTCGTAATATTCTTCATAGTAATAAAGTAAGCATGAGACGTGTTGCGTCTTGTTTCCTTATAACTATTGAATAACTACTTACCATGATGCTGCTGCCTGTACGACTGTGAACGACCTGACGCTGCAGGCCCCAATGTGTGTTGCTAGTCGCGCGATAGTTAGCAACATTGTTGCAGACGCCCGCTCAGATTCGATCCGTCAGATTCCTGGACTGTTGTGTTGAAGTCGCCAGTACGTGATCTCAGTAAACCGATATGCTATTCTTCCCAATAATTGTCCTTTTCTCAATTTCTTTTACTTTTAGATATTTACACGCGTCATGTGTGTGTGAAATATAATGTAAAATAATCGTCGTAATCATCTTCAATAAAGAAACTTTATATTTGAGTGCAGAACTCATATTATTAAGATTTTCTAATCGCAACCTTTTGATATCCTATTGCCATTCGTTTATACTTTAATTACTTAAATAGATCGTTTGTGTAATGTTGATATCGCTGATCGTAGTATAGGCCTAGTGGGGACCCGCTACGTTAAATAATGGGAACGCATCGACTGCAGCACCTCTTGGGTGATGTGGAAGCCCGCAGGTTGTCGTTGTTATGCCTTTATTGTAATAAGATAAATAAATTCATTGGATATACTCTTTAATCTGTTAATTTCATTTGCAAAATCATATTTTTTTTTGTAAAAAAAATGCTCTCCATAAAGGAGTCTCGAACCATAGACCTCCCGATTCGTAACCGGGTGCACTAGCCAGACGCCAGAAACATCTGTTTG